AGTCAGACGTTGCCGTTTGTATATAATAAGGATTGTCATGGGCAGGCAAGAGATCATGCAGTGAAAGTGTAGCGACTGGAAGCAATGTGTCATCATCGAGGGGGAATCCATATGGGGAAGATGGTGGGGTGTTTTAGCCCACAATGGAGCACACGTTGTGACCTCGGTGACAGGGGTATCGGTTGTTCTCCTGTTCTGGCCCTAAAGATTTCAAAAAAGGTTTCTTCTGGTTTTGGGGCACGAAACTCGTATAGCTGAGCCTAATGGTGTGACTTCATTCATAGGAAAGCTGAAGAGGTCAAGGTAAGGCAAAAATGAAGAGAAAAAGGGACGTGTTTTTTTGTACATTTAGATTGAGTACTGTAGCAAAACACTTCCCTCATTGTAAGAAGCATGATTATGAAATCTAGTCACAGAAAACGTCTTCTGCTCGATGCGCTAGAAGGGGCACTAGAAGACACTTCCCACAAAGTCAATAAATATCACTTGTTGCCCAGACTCGACCCTAGCCTGCACGCAGCAAATGTTTACATGCAGCAGTGAATTGTCTTTTGGAATCGCTGGAAATAAAAGTTGCCCGCCTGGTCAGCTGTTTCAATCGGGATTCTTTTAATTTAAAGCGCTATTCGACTCTGCGTGTCTCAATTTTGACTAGAACAGCTAGCATTATTGGCAGCAGCATATCATAGATCGGTAGCAAATAGTACAAGTAAAGCAGACAGTAATGTACAGAGCAGAGTCATGTTTAACAATGAACGTCGAGCCGCTTTCGCTGCGACTCCTGTTTCAGTGCCTCGATTGCCCGGTAGCGTGCATTGATGCCAATGCAGAAAGTTTTAAGTTCAGGAAACCAGGCGGGATACAGTATCCCAAACTGCGCATGAAACTGAGTGCGTATGAGCAGCGACGGCACAAAAAACTTTCAGTTTCCGCCAAGGCAGCCTCTGGCCACGTGAAAAGCGTGGTTAGCATCGCCTTCGCCTCCTGGGCTCGCATCAGAGCTTCCTCCCCCCCCTCCTCTACAACTATCCTGTGACGGCAATATCCCACCAAAAGCGTAGCCGAAGCCATACTCAATAGAGCACGCAGCCACGCCTAGCCCAACTGTGAGGTAACTGGTGTACGTACAAGTGCATTAAGAATTGTGATCTACTCTTTATAATAGGGTATACAGACACAGTAACTCAGACTATCTCGAACTGAAAGAGTTATGATCACTCCACCGTGCGATATAAATAAAAAATAAGGTGTGATAAAAATTAAAACCTAGCTATGTTCTCTATTCCTTCAGTGTTCGAAACAACGGGCAGTGAACACGTCCTGCGGATTTATTTGGGCCAAAGTAGTCATTAACCTATTGCTATTACTTAACGACCAACCATTTCTACGCAATGAACATCTGGTCTGGGATACCGGTTCATAGAGACAGAACTATGGGCTGATTTTCTGTTTGGTCAGACTTTATTTAAGTTCCTTTTAATTGCTAGATTTCAAATCTCCTAATTGAATGCGAATTGGTCAAATTGAAAATTAAACGCTTCTGTTTCCGATCAGCTCTTCCTGGACTAAGCCACGCATTCTATTCCGCTTGAGAATCGTTGTCACCCTCACAAGAATCATTCTGGTGTGACTCACAGAAGCCATTCGATGCACAAGTAATTTTTCTGTGATAGTTGTCTTCTCAGACAGGTCTGCTACCAACTGAACGGCCTCGTTGAGAAAAATGAATCTGATAGCCCGGCACTACCAGCCACTGCCAGTCTCACTATTGGGCTTGTACAGTAAGAACAGAACTGAGCTCCTCAAAGCTCCGGAACCTCCTACCTCATCAGAGGGATAACTTCACATTACGGCAACATTTTAGAATTGAAAATGTGTTTTGGCGATGCCAGCTGACGAGTAATCAGGCAGGCTACGCAGGCTGCATCAAAACCGTTTGGAGTTCTCAGATAAAAGACTTTCCAGTACCTGGTGAGCAGCGAACCAGAGCAGGGAGCAGGCATGTGGGCAGACTTACGACCAACGAAAAATTGCTTGCTGCTCGGTT